ACGAGAAAGATACGTTTAACCAGGAATAATTCGTGACTCAAATTTTCCGCCTCGTACAAGTTAACACTTTACTATCGGTTCATAAACGTTAAAAGACACGCGGTGAAACGAGAGAGTTATAAAGGATGGAAAGGAAATGACGATTTAAATGGTCGTATTTACGAAGTGTTGAAATTTTCGCAACGGAAGCGGCAGTATCCGGTTGTTATTTATACGCGTTTCCGAACGGAAATGCAATATTATCGATACGTAGGTAACGTAATAAATTATTACGCGCATTTTGTTGGCTCGTTGAGCATCTATATATATATATATATAAATTTTGAACACGGCCGCAATCGGCGGATGCTCTTTACCGTAGCGAATCGTCAAATTACATAAATTGAATTGTTATCGAGCATCGAGCAAACATCATTCGCGCCGATCGTTGGCGACGTTTTAAGCGTAATATCGGGTTTACGAGGCCGCGTTAATCCCGGCGAGAATCGTTCGATTGGAAAAAGCCGCCTCGAAACGCCTATTATTTCCTCTCCCCTCGCCTCCCCTTGTTCATCGAATCACCGGATAAGAACATAATGATCCTCCCACTCTTAGAGCTTACACAATTCAAACACCGTCTCTCACCGTCGGAAGGGACAAGGAGAAACTCGTCTTCCCTTTTCTCTCTTATCCTCCCGCGTAACAATGAAACACGGCTCTCAATCGTCCTCGAAGACGAACAAAGAATTGCTCATTACGTAACGTAAATATCGATCCTGATCTCAGGGGATCTCCTCCGCTTCGAGGCACGTTCGATCGTAGATCTCGACCGTTGTTCGGCCGATGTCAAAAGTATAAAATAATATCGAATGAAACGCCGGCGTAGATGGGATGGATTGGAGGACGACTTGGAGGTGGATATCACAAAGCGATACGCCGATCACCAACGTGTTGCAACGTCACTGCACAGTCATAATTCATAAGCAAAGGCGTCGCCTGGAGTCGTCGTGGCCGCTTCGCGAGAAGAATCGCTCGACCCCCACGGGATAATTTATGGGGTGCAAAATCCGCTCGATGATTGGCTTGTTCAATTTTTAAACGACCGCGTCGCGCTCCCGGGAGCATTATATCCCGGCAACCAATCGGCCTAGATTTTTCAGCTGACGCGAAACATCGCGGACAGGGGGTTTGAGGGTTTTGCGAGGGGTAAGTAAGCGAGAGGGTATCCTATCTCGAAGGACCGTGAATCGAAGACATCACTTTTGGAGACGGTTTCATTCAGATAAGAGGTGGGAAATACAATGGACTTTAATAGAATTTCCATAATTGAACCCGTTGGAGGAGAGTGTTATAATTCCTATATATATTTCCGAGACGATGAAAGCGCGATGATTCGTTCTATTTCTAACTCCTTCTTTTGGAATTATTCTAAAATTGATGGACTGGTAAACCGATAAATGGAGCGACGCAAGGGAAGAGAGGAAACGGAGGAATTGGCATTAATAACGAAAGATGGACGATTGAATTATTATCTCGGCCGACAAATGTACAGCAAAGAACTCGGGGATAGATCCCTGTAAGAGGATCTTTGGGTATCTAAAATATATTGCTCAAGTTTTCGAAGGGAAATTTAAAGGAGGGGAACGGTTTAATATATACCGTGTCGTTCGTCGTGCTCAAAATGGAAATTTATTCTCATTCTAACGATGCCGCGTGGCAGGAAATATTGTTCATCGTTTCGAAGCATTATGTACCGTTAAAGGTGAACGTCTATTTTTCATGCCGGGCTGAATCTACGCGCTCCCCCTCCGTGACAGGGACAAAGCAAGATGGATGAAAATGAAGTTCTTCTATATTTACATCCTCAACACGGCGTTGGCGGCGTTACGCGTTGGTCATCGCGTGTCTTTCCATCTTAAAACTGTGAGCGAAGATACCGATCGCCTTTAACGTATTTTTCTTTTTCTTCTTTCTCGAAAGCCATCGACATCAGCTCAACACAATCCCTCCGTCACACGTTTGTCTTAGTAGGAGTGATGTCTTTGGATAATTTATTTCGTTAATAGCTCGTCAAAATTTGATCGCGAGCGGTGTCGTTAAGTATACGAGAAGGAAATCCAAATAAGGATGATTCTCCCGTGTATCAATATTTCATTGGAATTAAGTCGTTTTGACCACGCAGAGATGAGCATTGGAGCGTTCGCATAAATCAACTTTCTTTCCTGAATGAATGTTGCGCTAACAACGGTTTGTTCTCTTAAATTGAGATATAGTTGGAGGGAAAGAAACGAGTATACTCCGCGTCGAACGAAATCGAGCGGGATAATATCGTTGTTACGAAATCAAAAAATGATTTATGGGCCGACCTCGTGTCGTCCCTCGAAAACATCGAGCTCGTGGTTTCCGGAGATCTAAAATAGAAATCGAGGATAACTTTCGAAGCGTTTTCGAGATGTAGCGAGATGAGATTAGAATCGATTTCGTTAAGTATCGTTTGTTTATTAGAAATGAATGATTTAAAATTGGAAGGACGAAATCGAATGGGGAAACATTTCAAATTTCGATTAAATCTGTTCGAGCATTATTCGTAGCCATCGCTAATGGCCTTTACCAAACGCTTTCCAACCTAACTATAGTATCAGCCTATAAAACGCTACCTTATATCTTTATTACCTCGTCTAAGGAACCCCTGCTATGCGGTGGCTCACGTTCGACAGCTTCTATGGATATTTCGGCAATTTATGTAGAAACCTGGGGAAGTCTGGAAGAAGGGAAGTCCGCGTCGAGATCACGAACGATTCGTTCGTGACTACACTAATATCTTTATTTATAGTTATTGCTAAAAAAAAAAAAAAATAGAACGAGTCAGCTTGCCACCCTCTTTCAAAAATATTCCATTATATTGGACAAGGGAGGATTACCCTATCGAGGGTAATATTTTAAAGATTGATAGAAATAAAAAAGATTTTCGAATCTTCGGTTTATTTATTCATTCATACTCTAAGTACAAATTAGAAAGTAACAAAACGATATTGAACAATGTATCGATAAAATTAAGTGTACGATATTGTACGATAAACGACTCGGTCGATTCGATAAAAAGAACTCGTTATAAGAATTGAGAGACGAGAATTCCGGAACGATGGTGAACACCTTGTACATGAAATGTTCCATTACATCGAAACCACCCCCTCCCCGCAATTGCCAGTTCGCCAATTCGGACAGTCAGTATCGATAAAAAGCGCTCCTCCGCGCCGGAAGGAAAATCGGCCGTGAACGCTTTCATTGGACGAAATCGTGGTCATTGTCGTGGGCATTAACCCGATTTCCACGGTTGGACGAGGTAGTCGTTCTCTCGAACGAGAGAAAGAAACAGGAACGGAAGGACAATGACGAGGTTCGTCGATGCGATCTTTCGGCTAATAAAAAAAAAAAAAAAAAAAAAAAAAAAAAGAAAGAAAAAAAAAGGGAGAACTATCCTTTCCGACTTCGTCGATCAAACTGGTAGTTAGATCAACGCAATCGATATTGATTCGACGTGTGAAACTCGTGTATCACCTAAAGTAAAAGGTGTGGAAGAGGACGAAGGATGGAGGTGAGAGAATGATATATAGTGGCGGTGAGGAGGAGAGGAAGGAAGAAAAGAAAAAGAGGATGAAGAGAAAAACGGGGTGGTAGCCTTTTATGTGCGAAGGAATTCAACGAATTGGAGCTATTGAACAGGGTGTAATGGACGAATGTAATGCACAGCCAGCTCGTACACCTTTCAGTGAGAAGAACACCGTCACACCCGAAAGAGACCCGTTCAGGAATATCCAATCCTTTATTCGTTATTGCACATCCACCAATATAGAGTGATTATAGCGCCGCGCTGAAGGAACTTGTGGATGGTTGAGTTAGCCGCGTGTTTCCTGCTCGTTCGTCATTTTTAGTGGTCGGACCTCGCTCGCTCAGGTATTAAATTATATTTCACCCGGTGATTAACGGCCCCTAGGATGTATTATTAAACCATAGGACCTCGTACGACGTGGAATCCTTGGCGGACAAGATCGTTCGAGCCCCGTTTACCCTCCCTTCGCCGCCCTCTTCTTCTCGAATGTTCTCGCTCTTACGCGATTACGCTTTCTTGCTTCTCGTACTTCTCCTCTCCTACTTTTTATTTTCCCTATAATGCGTGCCACCGTGAAATTACACGGGAGAAAGTTATTCAATGAATCGAAAAATCAAATTATAATGATTAAACGCTTGGGCGGCAATGGACGGGGGTTAAAATTTAATAATTAATACATTTTATATCCCCCTTTGTGATATGTAAATTTAGTTAATCGGACGGTTTTGAACATTAAGCCTCGTTATTCAAACATATTTCAAAGTAATCCTCGGCGAAGATTATACATCATTTACTGATTTAACGAAAAGCGTGTTGCTATGAAACGTGAAGCTCTCGGATATATTCAACGAAATTTTCCTGATTAAAGATCAAGCTTCACGGGGAACGTAGTCTCTTTGAATTATTCCCGGCGACGCAAAACGTGCCGCGCACCGTTTATTTCCAAAGTTATACACGCGATTATGAATTTACATGTTCCGGCAGGTTCGAATTTAAGAGGTTTCTGAATAATTAGCAGCTCATTCCGTGCACGTTCATTGCGCTTAAATACTAAAACGTACTCTTGTTAAACGAGCGACAGAATTTCCGCAAAGTGCGCGTGATACTCGCAGCTTCGCTTTAATTACTACATACGCCATAAAATGAAAAATATTGCGTGACAGCATAAATGATGACAGTGGTGTAAACCGCGTTCTTCCCTCACTTTTAATTAATCACGAATCGTCTATTTTTTCCATCTGCGATCACGTCATTTTCGTCATTTTGTATCTTTCGCTTTCCTTATTTTTTTTTGTGTTGTTGCGGGGAAAAAAAAAATCAAATCGATACGATCGTTTCGAGTGAGATGTTTTTTTGCCGCGACCAACACCATACACAATTTGTAGTAATTTCACTTGGAAACCTTCTATGGCTCGCCTGCCAGTGACAACTTACATAGAATCGCAGGAAATGCGCCGCACATACACGATCCTGACGTCGACAATTTACACTTGTCCGAGCTATTGACAAGAGAAATTTTTGCGTCTCGCGACGTTTTCACGCCGAGAAAAATTCCGTACTCTATAACTGAAGGCCGGACAAGGAAAAAAAAAAAAAAAAAATATTGAACTTAAATTCAATGTTAAATAACGAACGCGCAAAAATTTTTCTCGAAAGACAAGTTATTTCCATCCACTTTGCATCCTCCTCTCGAAAATCTCGCGATATTTCGAAAACGTTAACAGGGATTAAGATTCGGTAACAGTGAATCAAAAAGATTCATGGCAATGGTGTACGCGTTTCTCAAGGCGAATACAAGTTGTTAGGGGGTTGGTTCGAAGGTTTCGCGGGAGTTATTCTATTTCGAGACGAGGCAAGTTTTGATCGTGCACCGGGCAATTACACGTAGAAACGCGCGGGAACGTATATATGTATTCGCCACGCATACGACCACGCTAATTACATCGATTCGTACACCCCCGGCTACTGCGAATCCAACGAGTAATTTATAACTTAGGAAGAGGTCGTAAAGGGAATCGTTACTAATGATATCGTAATACCGATACCAGGCGTCGTGTGTTTAACCTGCGTGCTCCACCGTTTGAAATATGAACGAACGATCCCCACATTTCAGATAAAACAGCTCGTGCTCGGGGAATGGAACTTCTGTGATTAAAATTATTTGAAATTCTATTCCGTTCCAATAGAATTCGTATCTAGATTTTGGAATGATTAGAATGATTAGAAATTGGAGGAAAGAAACGACACGGCATGTATGCGTGTATTATTTTATTATCGAAGGAGGAGAGGACGTTTTTTCGCTTTCGTGGAGGCACGCTTTATTTAGAGGCACTTCTGTTTTAAACGCGCGATTAATGGAATCGCGTCGAGGATTTTTTTCGATGAAAAGTAGACACCGAAAAGGTTTTCACTGTTGCGGGACAAGTTTTACCGCAGGGTTCCGTGCGAAACCACGAGAACAGAATTACGAGATGGATAGGAAGACGCGAAAATCGATTAATGGATGAACTGTCAATGCGGTTTCACGACAAGTAATCGATATGGCTCTTTTATTAAATCGACGCTAACGGTAAAGGAATTCATTGAACGTTAAATTTCAGTCGTTTGGATCACAACTACATCAGCGTTACGTAATTTCCCGTTAAATATTCCCTCGGAGGACAATTTAAATTTTATATATATATTTTATAGAATAATGGATATTGCTTCTATCTCCTGGCATGTTAAGATGAAATGATAACGAAAAAAATTTTTTTATAAAGATTTATTTTCTTACATTATTTTATACATATTTTTACATATTTTTTTATTCATTTAATTTTATTTAACATAAACTTTATTCATAATATAAATATATTACGTTGTAAGGTCCCTCAGTGACTCCATTTTGATGTTTTATCACTGGAAAAAATATAATTGATTAAATAAAATATAATTAGTATTATTTCTCTTGATATAAATTAATAAATAATTGCAAATGTGATACGATAATTATGATTATCATGGTCGAACAGCAGCCATTAAAAATTAAATGAACACATGTGCTGAGTGGGGAGCACGTGACTTTGACAGTTTCGGCGGGAAGTCAGTAGCACGTGCGACAGCGTGAATAGTGGATGTGTCTATAACCTCAATTCTTGCGCTCCGCAAATAAACACTTAAAATGTTGAAAGAGTATCTATTGAAAAATCACCAAATAGAATTGAAGGAAGTTTTGGATAATATTGATATCAATTGTTATTATTCGATTTATGTTAAGTGAGTATTTTGCATTTACATTTTTTTCGTATAATACGAGATATTGTACGAAGGATTTTTTTTTTACAGTTTTGTATCATTGTTCGAGGATGATGCCGACGTTGCACAAAAAATTTTGCAATATCCTAGATATTACTTACCATTGTGCGACGAAGCAGCGATAAAAGCTCAGGAAGAAATAGCAAAACCGAAACAAATTGTTAAAAAGAAGGTGATGCCAAGATCTCGTTTAGTTATTAAAATTTATAGTATTTTTATAATTGCGTTTCTAAAATATATTTGAGATAGGTACGTATTAGAATTACTGCTGTGCCAGTTACATTAGATCAAGGGCAAATTGGACAGCTTGTTTCAACGAGTGGCATTATCGTTAGGATCTCCCAACCAAAAGTGTTAAAATCTGTTCAAAGATATTATTGTAGAAAGTGCAAACATATTACTTTGGCTAAAGTTAGTTGAACATGTTATAAACATTTTGTAATTTATATTAGCAGATAATTTATATGATATCTATTTTTAGTATGAATGGGAGAGACAAACTTTTGCAGATATTACAGATTGTGAAGAATGTCATGCTACAAAACTTAAAGTTTTAACTGATTTTGATTTGGAAGATTCTTCAGATTGTCAGGAAATAGGAGTACAAGTATATTATCAATTTAATTCGATATTTATGTTTCACTTGTTAACACTTTATTAATTTTTCAATATTTTTTTTTTTTTTTTTTTTTTTTAGGAAAAGTGTAAAATAGATACAAACAAATCCTTGACTGAGGAACTTAGGATTATTCTATTGGATGATTTAGTTGATAAATGTAGACCAGGAGATCATGTTGAGATTAGGTATTAATAATTATTAACCTTTGTATGTGTACAAATTATCTTTTCTAATTATAATCTTATGTTATACATCTTTAGTGGTGTTGTGATAAGAATTTGGGGTCCCTTAGAAGTTGGTGAACGTTTAGAAGCGACAACCATGATGTTAGGTAATAGCATTACAGTACGGCGTAAAATATCCGACACATCTTCTTCTCAAGAAATGAGAGATGTTTTTAGAAATTATTGGGAAAAATATAGTGATAATCCTTTACTTGGTAGAGACAATATTCTTGCATCTCTTTGCCCAAAGGTATAGATTTATTGTACATAATTATAAAAGAAAATACCAACATAAATTAATAATAAAAAATGCAATAATATTACATACAAATTATTTTAAGCTTTATGGAATGTACACTGCAAAATTAGCACTGGCTGTCGTTTTAGCCGGTGGCGTACCAAAATGTAACGAAAGCGGTAATTATTCTTTATTATCATTCTTTTTATTCTTTATATAAAATACAATGTGTCATTATAAATAAAAAAAAAAGGAACACGTGTGCGTGGAGAACCTCATCTTCTTTTGGTCGGCGATCCTGGAACTGGTAAATCCCAATTGCTTCGTGCAGCATCTCGTTTGGCTATAAGATCGGTTCTTACGACCGGTGTGGGATCGACTGCAGCTGGACTCACTGCAACCGCTGTTAGAGTAAGTAGACGCATACTATCTTCTGTCCTTAATAATTAATATCTGTATAATTTTCTTTATATACATGCACGTTAGGATTCAGAAGGATGGCATCTAGAAGCTGGGGCCCTTGTATTAGCAGATGGAGGCGTCTGTTGCGTGGATGAGTTCACAACCATGAGCTCACAGGATAGAACATCCGTTCACGAAGCTATGGAACAACAAACAATATCAATCGCCAAAGCTGGATTAGTTAGCACGTTAAACTCAAGGTGTTCAGTGGTTGCAGCTATTAATCCATCCGGTGGCCAATTCACCGATGATGAAGAATGGGAAACGAATTTAGGGGATCCTCTTTTATCTCGTTTCGATTTAATCCTGCTTTTGAAGGACAATAGGAATTCAGAATGGGATAGGCTGACTTCGGAACATATTTTAAAGGCTGCTTACGAGACTAAAGAGAACAATGCTCAGACGTAATCAAAATCAACTATCAGTTATTGATAATTCGTAACATTTTAAATGCTCAATTGAAATAATTTTTAATTTTACAGAGACTCGAAAAATCATATGGAACTTTTAAAAAACGAAAGTTTATGGAAAGAGGATACTTTGCGAGAATATTTAGCATATGTACATTCCCTGCAACCAAAATTAACGAAGGAAGCGGAAATGATACTTCGAGCGACATATCTTTATCACAGGTGTCATCCAAATAGGAGAGAAGAGAGAACAACAGTTCGACTTTTGGACAGCCTTATTCGGTAAAGAAATACAAGATATATAAAGATGTTTTTAAAACATTTAGCATAGAAATTTTCTTTAGATTAGCCGAAGGACACGCTAGATTGATGTACAGATCGGATATAGAAATCATGGATGTTATATTCGTGGCAAAATTAGTTGGAACTGGATCTACATCCGAGATTAATCTTGGTTGTTCATTTCCAATAGATCCAATTGCAACATATAAATCTGAAGGTACGTTTTATATTATTTTGTCGTATTATTTTTTCGGCAATTAAATAAAATTTTATCAAAGTTAAAGATAATAATATTTAATCTCGGATCAAGATCAATCGGATAACAATTTTGAAATTTTAGGTAAAATACTATTGAGGACTATTGGTTTAGAGAAATTGGAAAATTTGTTATAAATATTTTAAATATTTCTTGAAGAAGTTTTCTTATTCTAATTATTGGAGTGAAAGATCTTTTTTTTTTTTTTTTTTTTTTTTTTTTTTTTTTTTTTTTTTTTTTTTTTTTTTTGAGTAAATTAAATTTTTATTTGTCACTTTTATCTTTGCTGCTTACATAAGTACAAATGTATCAGCGAATATTTATAAAATTTAAACAACATTTCTGTCTTATTTTTCATTTTTTATACAAAACGAAGTAATCTATTATTCATTGCTATATAATAAAGATTGTGTAATAATCATTGCAATCAATTTAAACATCGTCATATATGTAAAAATATATTTATAGGGCAGAATCTGTTTTATTGAAGTCTCAATAAATAACAAAGATCCTTCGACCTCTCTTTTTCCTATATTCCCGAACATTTTACTTGATATAAAGTTTCCAGTTCATTGAGACATTCAGATACACCCAATAAAGTAACAGCAACGATATAACCCAATTTTCGTACTCTATAAATAATTTATCGATAATTAATAAATAATTAAACATACGTAAAGTATCTGTTTTGTTTTCTTTGCAAAATATTCCTTATGTATATATATATATATATATATATATATATACATATATATATATAATATATATTTATATGTATATATAGTTTAAACTTTACAAAGTGATAGAATATTTTAAGGACCTAAGTAACAAGTATTTAATAAAGAAAGGCCATATATTACACGTTGTAAGGAATGTATAGGACGTTATTAAGACAGGCAAAAAGATGCCCGATTTCCATACAATTAATAATTAAATTAACATTTTATAAAACAATAAAAAATTAAACTCGTGGACACAATATTTCTACGTGTTATTAAGTTATTTTGATTTTTAACAAAACCGAATATTTTCCGTTTATATAAAGCCATACATGATTACAACATCATGATTAAGAATGCCACTAAAATAAAAGCTAGCAAATATATTGATGTATAATATAGAAGCAATAATATAAGAATTAGTGATATGATTATTGATAGTTTGTTTTTCTATTATGTGGTAAATTATTTTGTGATTCATTTTTAATTAATACAAACGAAAAATGATATACACGCTGTGTGTTAGATAATACAAAGACATACGTACACAATACTGTGTGTGTTAATCAGATTTAAAATACTGTTAGAAAAAGAAATAGATAACAATAAATCATCTGTTAAAATTAAATTCGTGAATAATAAATTTGCTGAAAAATGATAATAATTTTTTCTCATAAAAATCATGCACAAATACAACTTTAAATGCACCAAGAGAAAAAATCATTTCTACGCCTGAGTAAAATACTATAATTTTTTTCAATGCAAGAATAGAATTTTCTATGGAACATTATAATTTCGAGTTCCATTATGCACATTAGATGCACTGAAACTAACATGATCTATCAGCGATTTACTGAGCGGTAAAACGTCAGAATACCTGAAGAATAAATCCTGGATTGTGACGAAATCACTTTAATAGCGTGGTTGATTAGCAGCGTTAGCCATTTGGGCGCGTACAGCATTGGCAGCAACACTACTTGCTGCATTTTGTACATGTTCATTGCGTAAGAAAGTCGTCGCGAATTCTTGTTGTGCTTTCGAAACGCTTGCATCTGACGAGCGATATATGCGATGAATCTGAAAAATATGTGTATATATATATATATATATTTTTTTTTTGATTGCTTATTATTTATAAAAAAGTTATTTTTAAAAATTACAAAAATTTTACATTATACCTTGGTTAATAATAACAGATCACCGAACGCAGCGAGAACAAAACAAAGGGCAATAAGGAGTAGTAAAAACCCAACAAATATTCCTTTAGCTGTGTTATCAAACATCGTGAAAGCAACTATAATGCCGCTATAATCATAGAAAAGTAGAAAAATTAAAATATGATTGAAAAAAGCATAAATTTGTGTTTCAAAAAATAAAATATTACCAAGTTCCTGAGCCAGGAATGCCTATAGCTTGAATTGCTGTGACGATTAATTGAAAGAAGAAGACAAAGAAAAATACCATGAAGTTAAAAGAGCTATCATTTCTGAAAGGAAAAAAATTATTTAATAATTATACAAATTTTGAAATATTGATGTTTAGTCAGTACATACTTGAAAGCTTTGTATGCTGGTCTAAACCAGCATAAAAATGAGAATGGTGTAAATAATATCAGATATAATATTCCAAGACCAAATGTTGAAAATCCTCCATTACATAAAAGTAAGATGAATCCACCGATAATATTAAGTATTAAAACACAACCATGAACTGCAATTTAAAATGATTATGGGAAACTTAGTGTGGGAAAATTATATATTATATTATATAGTTACAATAAAACTATATTTTAAGCATTAAAATTAATTAAAATACATTCAACTTACACATCCATAAACGATATAGCTGTCTGACTACCTTCTGAAAGTCTGTATGAATTTCTACATCAATATCTTGATAGAAGCAAGGTTGAAAGCAGCATTTATCAGGTAAAGGAGGCCAGTTGTTTCTTTTTGCTATAACAATTAACCATTTTTAATTGTTATTTAATAATGAAAGTAATATCATATATATATTCTTTATTTATTGTGCTTACGATAATATGGTGTGTTCCTCATATCTTCCTCTGTTCTTGTTTTCCATTCTGACTCTGATCTTTGCTAAAATACAATAATTGTTCAAAAAGAATATAATATAGCATTAAAATCCAACATAAAATATTATGAAATATGTTACATATAAATATTTACATCTGAAGTTGGGGATATTGTGCTGCCAAGTGCTGTATTCACTGTTTGTTGTGGAGTACGGGCATAATTAGTTGCTGGAGGTTCTTGGTTCGAAGGCTGAAGTGTAGCTGGTTGCTGTGTTACTCCAAGACCTCCATAGATTGGAGGATTTGAAGCACCTCTAACTTGTGCTGTTCCTTGTGAACCTTGTTCTGCAAAAGGATTGTAATCTTCTAATCCTCTGTTAGCTGGAGTAGAAGATACAGCCCTTCTTATTGCAGGATCCTAATTAAAAAAAAATCATTTCTATTATATTACAATCAATCTCACAAAGAAAATTAGGTATGCTATATTTAAAGAATATATATTTATAGAAGACATCTATATATAGAATTAATATTCAAGAAATTCATTTATTGACATATCTCTTTCAATGTAAAATCGATGCAACATTGTTCTATTTACAAAATTAATAAAAGAAATTTTTTACATTCAAAAAATATTAAAAATCATCCTTAACATAAATAAAAACACATATATGAAAAAAACTTACACAAAATTTACAAATATTAAGGAATTAATATATTAATTTCAAGGTATAATGAAAATCTTTACTTATAATCATCGGAAAAAATAATAATAATGATTAAATTATACACGTCTATTTCCATTTGCAATTTTAGATGCAATATTGAACAAGATGCAATGTATTCTTTGGATCTAGCCGCTATATAATTTGTACTTACCGAAAATGGATCATTGATATTCGGTTCCCCAAAAGGATTTTCATCAAAGCCAGACATGTTAGCAGCCGTTCACTGAACCACACTCCAACGTATTGTTGAAAATAATTAAGACTTTAACGTACTCAAAATAATCTTATCTAAACTTGTCTATACTTCATGATCCATTGCGCTGCAGTTACCTACGGTATTGCCGGTATCTGAGTCATATAGCTTCTTACACATAAACTAGCTGCTGCCACGTCTAATCCGAACATATTATGTATAGTTCACATGTTCAAACTTAAGTTTATATCAAGTTCCAAGTCAAAAATAAAATCCAATAAAAATTATGAATTTTAGACAAATATTTATTCAAATATTTTCTTTAATATTTTATTGCATACATATTTTGACATTTTTTTTTTATATAACAAAAATAATCAGGAAATATAATTCACATTCTCATTACAAGATAAGATTCGAAATAGAAAATTTTTGCGATTTCAGCAAAAAATATTACATTAGTCATATATATTATAGAATTAATAAATAATATATTGTTGCGAGACAACAGCATGTTTCAAGTCTTGGAACTTTAACGAAACGTGAGGATTGATTTATAACATGAACATATAAAGCTATTTTGAAACGAAAGTTTTTAATTTTTAATGATGCCCCAAGATTTCTCGTTTTTTACAGATGATTATAAATCGGGAATTCTAAAGTATAATTCAAAAATAATTTGTAATAATTCTTTTGATTGCAGTTCTTATCTAGAGGATCTCAGACGATCTCAGGATCTCGCGGGTTTCATTCCATAGATCACCTCATCTATTCCAGTAAGAATATTCGGCATTGCGAAGGGGATATAACCATTAACGAAACGTGAGGATTGATTTATAATATGAACATATAAAACTATTTTGAAACGAAAGTTTTTAATTTTTAATGATGGCCCAAGATTTCTCGTTTTCTACAAATGATTATAAATCGGGAATTCTAAAGTATAATTCAAAAATAATTTGTAATAATTTTTTTGATTGCAGTTCTTATCTCGAAGACGACTCAGGATTTCGCGGGTTTCATTCCATAGATCACCCCATCTATTCCAGTAAGAATATTCGGCATTGCGAAGGGGATATAACTATCAATATATTTCTTGATTCATTTCCCAAAAAGACAAAAATTAACAATTAAAGATGCTGCTACGATACAATTGAACAGAATAAGCAACAAGAGAATAAATTCAATCATTGGGAGAATGAGATCGACCGGCAACATTATCTTCAACAAACAAAATTCATTCATCAACAGCATTTATTGAAGGAAGCCCCCACGACAACGTGTAATGCGAAATTCTTTTAATATATATATATAATGTAATGTAATATATATTGTAAAATTATATAATGTAATGTTAATATAAATACAATATAATTGTATAATATGTAATATTATAGTTTTATAAATATGTAATTAAAATTATATGTAAATTATATATATTTTAATAAATATATATTGTACATATATTTTCTATCTTTTTTTCATTTCTTCCTTTATTTCCTTCTTCCTAATAAAATAACCATTAGTTTAAAAAAGATCTTAGTTTAAAAGGTAAATATAATATAGTTAAATATGTCAAATTTTATAATTACTATTAAGTAAAATGATAAAAAAACTGTTATTTTCGGAAATGTAATATTTAAAAAGGTAAGTATAAAAAAGGTAAATATAAAAAGTAAGTACATATCTCGAAAAAAATAAAATTTCAGAAATTCTTGGAAATAACATCAAATTCTTGGAATTATCGAAAAACATCAGCGAACGAAAATTTTTGCTAAAAATTCGATTTTGTATTAGGAGAACATAAGTTGATAGGAGGTCGTTCGAGGAATTTTTCCAAGAATTTTAGCAGTTCCTGGAAATGACGTCAAATTCTTGGAATTATCGAAAATCTTCAGCGGACAAAAATTTTTGTCAAAAATTCGATTTTGTATTAGGAGAACATAAGTTCATAAGAGGTTGTTCGACAAATTTTTGTGGGAAATTCAAATTCTTGAAATTATTGAAACTTTTGAATTTTTCAAACAGTATTACATAAATTTAATATTATTGAACATTTTAGACACCTGGAAGTTAAAATTTCGGTTTGTATACAAACATTGGAGTGTTTATTTACATTTTCAATGTTTATTTACATTCTCGGTTTGTTTATTTACATTTTGCAATGTTTATTTACAAAAATTTTCGAAAATTTGATGAATTCTGGGCCTGAGAGTTGAATTTTCGGTTTGTTTACAAACATTGGAGTGTTTATTTACATTTTCAATGTTTATTTACATTCTCGGTTTGTTTATTTACATTTTTCAATGTTTATTTACAAAAATTTTCGAAAATTTGATGAATTCTGGGTCTGAGAGTTGAATTTTCGGTTTGTTTACAAACATTGGTCTGTTTATTTACATTTTCAATGTTTATTTACATTCTCGGTTTGTTTATTTACATTTTTCAATGTTTATTTACAAAAATTTTCGAAAATTTGATGAATTCTGGGCCTGAGAGTTGAATTTTCGGTTTGTTTACAAACATTGGAGTGTTTATTTACATTTTCAATGTTTATTTACATTCTCGGTTTGTTTATTTACATTTTTCAATGTTTATTTACAAAAATTTTCGAAAATTTGATGAATTCTGGGCCTGAGAGTTGAATTTTCGGTTTGTTTACAAACATTGGAGTGTTTATTTACATTTTCAATGTTTATTTACATTCTCGGTTTGTTTATTTACATTTTTCAATGTTTATTTACATTTTGCAATGTTTATTTACAAAAATTTTCAAAAATTTGATGAATTCTGAGCCTGGGAGTTGAATTTTCGGTTTGTTTATAAACATTGGAATGTTTATTTACATTTTCAATGTTTATTTACATTCTCGGTTTGTTTATTTACATTTTGCAATGTTTATTTACAAAATTTTCGAAAATTTTGAAAACTGTTTACGAAATACTTATGTATACTTACCTTTATTTATTTTCTATATACTTACCTTTTTACAGCTACTATTTTTTTGTTAATATATTTTTTCAACATTTTTCTTAATTCTAAAAATACTTACCACTTCTTATCTTTTACATACTTATTATGATTACTTATAATTTTTGCCAAAAATTCGATTTTGTATTAGGAGAACATAAGTTGATAGGAGGTCGTTCGAGGAATTTTTCCAAGAATTTTAGCAATTCCTGGAAATGACGTCAAATTCTTGGAATTATCGAAAATTTTCAGCGGACGAAAATTTTTGCCAAAAATTCGATTTTGTATTAGGAGAACATAAGTTGATAGGAGGTCGTTCGATGAATTTTTCCAAGAATTTTAGCAGTTCCTAGAAATGACGTCAAATTCTTGGAATTATCGAAAATTTTCAGCGAACGAAAATTTTTGCCAAAAATTCGATTTTGTATTAGGAGAACATAAGTTGATAGGAGGTCGCTCGAGAAATTTTTCCAAGAATTTTAGCAATTCTTGGAAATGACGTCATATTCCTGGAATGTCTAAAATTCCTGGAGAAACAAAAATTTCAGCCAATTTTTCGACTTTATATTAGGAGAACATAAGTTGATAAGAGGTTGCTTGAGAAATTTTGCCAAGAATTTTAGTAATTCCTGGAAATGACGTCATATTCCTGATATTTCTGAAATTCGAAAATTTTATAAATTTTAGGAGTGGGGAAATAAATAGAAACTTCGGTTTGTTTATAAAAACTAATGTATTTATTTATTTTTTTAATTTTACATTTATATTTTTGATTTGTATACAATTTTTAAAATTATCGAAACTCTTGAGTGAACGAAAAATTTTGTCAATTTTTCGACTTTGTATTAGGAGAATATAAATTGACAGGAGCTCGCTCTAGATATTTTTCCAATTTCCGCAATTCTTGGAAGTGACATCAAAGTCTTGAAATATCTGAAATTTAAAAAATTTACTTATATATTTATAAATAATCACCTTTACTTATTATTTTATTTACTTACTTTTTTACCGCTATTTTTTGAGACATTAAATATTTTTCAGCAGTTATGCACCATACTTGATTTTTTTTTTTTACTACAATTCAAAGTAAAAAGTAAATCAGCTAATAATAATAATAATATAAATCATTCTTTGTAAAAGAATATTAAATCATATAAATTAAGAAATCAATACTTTAAAAAATAATTAAATATTTCCTAAATTATAAAAAATACAATAAAAGAAATACACAAATACAAACAAAAGATATGGTATGATATGTACAAATTAAAAACTTGTATGTAAAAATTTACAAAAAATATATGTACCATAATATTAAATATAATATGTACATATATAAAAGAAAACTATCATATATATGTATAAATATAAAAACCTAAATATATATATAATATAAACTTAAAATTAATTAATTTAGTAAATATTAGATAGATTATATGTATTTAAAAATTTTTAATCAATCAGTTAGACAGATAAGATAAAGATAATCAAAAAATCTGCGATGTTTCTTGGATCTATGATTGTTATCAAGTAAATACAGGAAAGAAGATAGTTAAAAAATAGAATAGAATAGTGCTATCAATAATACTATGTCAATAATGTAAGTAATAAATAAGGACAGCTAATAGTGAGAAAAGAATAAAAATAGAATAAGAATTGACTGTCAGCGTCATCTTTTGAATATCAAAAAAATATTAATCTTTATGAATTAAAATAAGATAAAATAAAATAAAAATTAAATTCAATATCATTTCTTAAATATTTTTTGAAATATATTTTTGATACTCAAAAGATATTCTCGACAATCAATTATTATTCTATTTCTATTCTTTTTCATTATTTGCTATTCTTGCCTATTAATTTTATTAGAGATACTTTAGAGATATGTGATTTTAGAATTTTTATTCTATATCTATCCCTCTCGCGTTATTTTCTCATCTGTATTTGCTCGACGAGCAAAATATAATTCATGGATTTAATAGATAGCACAAATATATATTTTATACATAAATTTGTTTTCTTATATATTTTCTATTTGTTAACTTATCTATTTTTAAATCTTAAATACACGCAACGGATAACTTTGTAATCTTAATTTCTATTTTATGGAAAATAAAATTAAAATAAAGCGGATTATTAAAAAAATGTAATAGTTAAAAGGGATGAAATAATAGTAGTTTTATATAATAATGACGCACGCGCAAACTGTTTGATAGAACAATAGATAAAGTTGCGTTATGGTAGCGAAGCTACCAGTCGCTATGCGCTTACCTTTATACGTGAAGTGTCTTTTTCAATTAATTATTACTCCGTGCCGTGCATTTTTACATAGGGAAAATTGTTGGAAGAAAATTCTATTCGAATTGTCAAATGTATCTGAAAATAGATAGAGAGAAACTTAGAATATAACTTTAATTTCTTTCACGGCAATGAAATGGACGGAAGGGACGTGATTGTTTTAAAATATGTAGGTGCATTTTCCATTCGTTGAAAAATAGAAAAATTTTGACAGAGAGTGATTAAATAAATTGTAATAATATAAAAAAATTATCTCTATTATTAAAAATATATAAAATTTAATTACAATGCTCGTAGTTATAACACTTTAAAGTTGATATTTAAATCAAAAGTTTTAAAAATATATGTATAAATTGTCAAGCTAAAGATTAAAAATTTACTTACAGAATGGATGTAAGTTCACTGGTACCAGCTGGTTTTCAAGGAAACCAAGTGGATCTGTGCGAGATCCAGGCTGGTTATAATAAATTTTCGGAGAACTTGCGAAAATTCACTCCACAAGCCATACAGTGCGCGATCTTTTGCGGTGGTTCTAGGTGCAAATATGAAAACTCGAAAGCTTGGCCTCCTGTGCACATGGCAATACAGAACATCTTTTCGCATTGGTAAGATCGTAATAAAAGTTTATGAAAAGCTACAAATTTTATTTTTTTTATAATCTCTCTCACATCCTTCTCGAATAATAATAATAATAAAAAAGCGAATATAATAATAGACGTACTTTCATTTATTTTCTATATCTAATATTCAAATAAGATTTTGCAATTTTAATACGGTTCTATATTTATTCGTAAAAGAGATTGAATCGATTATTATCATGGCGTGATAGACTTCCTACTGTGAACGAAATTAAACTCAATGTCACGTAACATGATATGTGGGTCGTAAAATAAATGGGAATGGTAATAATAAATTTGGTAGCATTGATTTTCTTCAAAATTGTTTGTAACGCCAAAATTAATAATCTGGTCAAGCAAAGTGATTAAGAATTCGATGATGTTGATGTTCTTTTTTTTTTTTTTTTTAATATATACATATGATGAATTAAAATAATTGAGAAAAGATGTAAGGATCGATAATTCTTCAGGGTGACAGACGAGGTTCTCGCGATGGCACGACCGAACACTGCACAGATAATAAAAAAAAACATAATTGCACAATTTCAAGGGTGGAGTATAAAAACTATAATAAACTTACAAACTCCGGGCGAGCATGCAAGCTGTGGTGGCCCTCTCGAAGAAAGTGGTTTTACTTACGATCCGAATGTCTTCATGAAACATGGCAGTAGGTATTAAAAATAGTACGATTTAAGCGATATAATACGAAAAAGGAGAAAAATATTTCATCATATAAATATATATATATATATATATACATTGAAAAATTATCACAATATGACTATTATAAAATAAATAAATTAAATTAATTACTTACAATCTCCTGATTCTAATTATACACAAAATATTATAAAGAAATCTCGAAATAAAATTGATTAATCGAATGTGTAATATGAAAGTACAATACCTGTTTAATCACGAAATTAAGTTGCACGATGAAATGAAAGCTAAGATTGTTCTTGTCTAGCGAGTAAACTGTATTCGTAGGAATTAGTTTCGATTCTGGTGAGCCAGATCGAAGAAGAACATGCAATGCAGCAAAATCGTGTAACTATGCGGAATTTTGACACTCGAATATAACGATCGTTTTCCGACATCTCTTTTTTTTCCGATTAAAAAAAAAAAGAGAGAGAGAGAGAATAAAAATTAATCGCGATCTAATAATTTGTTCCAGTTTATTATTACAATTTCGCGTTGAAAGATTATGGGGACGCGACCATGAGCAAACTTCTGGATATGGTCAAGGTCGTGGCCTTCGCAGTGCAAGAGGGAAGAGTGGCAATTCACTGTCACGCTGGTAAATCGATTCGTTTTGATAAATGCACCGACTAAATTTTTATTTTCGCACAGTTATTTTTAATCAATAGATTTACTATAATCTTTTAACTATAATCTGAAAAAATACGAATAAATAAAAATAAAATATAAAAAAAGAAGATAATAGAATCAAATAGATCAATCTCAAAGATATTTTTTTTTTTCGTATTGTATAAGATAAAATAATTGCTCTATGGATTGAAGATTTTATCAGAGCAACGAGCAGATACGTACGGTTCCTCTTATCGCAATCGTCTAAGCGAGTCTTTTAATTCGGGAAAGTATCTATCAAAGTTTTAAACATTTCTTCGCCTTTCGCACATCTTTTATCAGTGATTTCCAATCTTTGAGTGTATCGATCCAAAGACCATGTGTCTAAAAACACGTCTAGCCAGCGTGGTGGTTGTTTGTTGTATTACGTGCAGTAACACGGTACATCTAAATTTTTGCATTCATTACAATATTCCAATATTCCTTGAACTTTTGTCCGACAACCACGAAATATTGCATCCTTCGTGAATTGAATGAGAAACAAGCAATAATTTGCAAACTATTTGATATCGTATTAAAATGATATCATAAAAAAAAGATGTACTTCGAATTCTCAAAAGAATTTGTCGCAGTTATTTATTTAAATTTATTTTTATGGATAATGTTATGTTGATGATAAAAATATAATTTTTATCATCAAACTTATACTTGTTTATTTCACTATGACTACAATAGCCTAAACACTGTTACATATGCAAATACGAAGGGTGAACTGGCAGGTTATTCGGCTATTATAAAAGAGGGTCACGTTTTTAACGTGAAAGTTGCACGAGAAACTTTCCTGTTGATAGAAAAAAAAAAAAGAAAAGATAAAATATTCGAACTATTTTTTGAAATAAACAGAAGATATCCAACAATATACTTAACACTCTCTTTTCCTCGTGATTCCATGACTAATTGGATGGAAGCGTGTTTCTCTACCATAAACGTTCTTCAGTTTCAATTCTTTAACAAAATTTACGGGCACGAATAATGGATAGGCGGTGATAAGAAATTGGGGCGTAACATCGGGGTTTCTAACATTTACCAATCCTATTTCAAGATATGTATATATATATTTATATATCTTTCAACCCTGAAAGTTTCTCTAAAAATATTCTTCGAGAATACGAGGGACAAAATCGTATCGTCGAACGATTGTTTTAAAAGATTCGAAAATCTCGACGCAACTTAAGCTCGATCGATTCGTTTATTCCATAATAAAGAGCCTGCAAGCAATGAATATTTAATGATCATAAAAGTTACATTTTCTTCATATTCTTCATATTTTCCTCGCATCTGACAATCGATCTACGAATACTTGCGAGACCTGTTATTATGCGCACGAAGTTACTTTGTTTCTGAATAATATACTCTCCCGTTCATAAATATTAAGACATTCGAAAATTACGATAAAATTACGATATCCATACAATTATTGAAAAATAAATAGAAATATTAACAGGAACAGTTAAATATAGAAAATTAATTAAATAACTTTGAATAATTAATTTTCCGATTATAAATTTAAGATTAATTAGATAAAGGATTTAATGAAATACAGGTAATCTATTTTCAATGTATAGAATTATTTTTAAAACGCGTGACAGCGAATAACAGATAGAGAGATAACAATACAAACATCAATATTGATTAAGATAGGAATCGAAAGATGGAAGAGATGTAAAGGGAGGAAAAACATCATTTAAAATGTATAATTAATCGATTTCTATTGTATTATTACGTTAATTTATAACCTTCCTAAATAATAAATTCTTTAATTTCATTTCTTTCTAAAAATTCTAATACCTGTGAACGGGAATATAACAAAGAAACACGAATATAATCAGGCAAATACAATTTTCCAATTGGAATGATTTTACTTTCGCGATTTCTTTTGTGCGTCGAACGTTTATCGCGATCAAATTCTTTGACCAACCAATTCCCCGATAGCGTTATCAAGCGACAATTTAATTGAATAGCCAAAATTCCGCGCGTACCTCGCGTGTGCATGACTCACCGACTTAATTACGCATCGTGGATACGCAGATTGGCCAGAAATGGACGTTCACCAACGAAACGAAACGGCTTATGGTTATTATCGAGTGATTATTCGTCGGATACGTCATAACTCTTGTTAACCCCGGAAACACAGTTGGCTACGATTACAAGTTCCGCTTCCGATTCACGGTTAGAGCACGAGCAGAATAATTTATTTCTCGAATTAGGCACGATCGATAGACACCCGAGACCTTATCTATCCTTTAAACAATTAAATATTTCAATTCTCAAATGTGTGCGGGACTCGAGATGTTGCATCATGAATACAATAAGTAGTTCGAGGTAAATTTAAATTTTTCAACGAAATGTAACGCGTTAAAAAAAGAAGAAAAAAGAAACGGATGTAGAAAAATAACAAAAATATATTAAATGGATTGTATTTCTAAAAACTGGAATATTTTCTATATCGTAGATTTGTTTCCAAATTGGGGTAAAAATTGACGATTAAATAATGATAGCGGTTCAAATAATAATAGCGTGGATCAAGTGAGACAACCGCTACGCTACGTGGAAATTTGTCGACTAAGCAATTAATCGTACAAAGTTCAGACAAATTTATAGGACACGTATCTTTTTCAGGGTTGGGCAGAACCGGGGTTCTGATCGCGTGCTACCTTATTTACAGTCTTCGTGTGCGAGCGAACGATGCGATACGGTTCGTTCGCATGAAACGGCCATCCGCGATCCAGACGCGTGGACAGATACTATGCATCCAAGATTTCGAGCACTTTGTGCTTCCACAGATGATAGTTTTCCCTTTGAACAGCACGATAGGGGATCGCAAGCCTTGCAGCCTGCAATCGTGTCTCAAAAAGCAGCACAACGTTCTGCACGGATACGAGCAACGCACATTCAAACATATTCCAAAGGTTTCTTTTTATCTTTCTTAATTATAAGATGTAAAACGTGTCCAATGGAGGGACGAGGCGAGATTCTCTGTCGTTAAATTTACGAAATTAATTAATCCCTTAGATCGTGTTCGTGATTTGCGAACGGATTCTTCAACTGTGCGATTGTCAAGAAGATAATTCTCCCTGTGAGATCAAGTATACGATCTCCAGTACGCCTTTCACGCAAAAATTTATATCTCACATTTTGGAAAAGCTGAGGGACAGTAAAGGGAATATTAGACACTCTTATTCCTGGACCGAGTCTCTAGCTGACTCTTACGATTATTCCAGTAAGAAATCGAAAGAGAAACAAAATTTTTAATACGATTAATACGAGATCACGGAGGGTTTGAAAATTTTCCATTTATTCTTGATTTCGTCTAGGTTCTATAAAAGCGTGTGCAAGTGGCAGCCAAGCATCTTCGAGAGGCACCTCGAATGATATTGGTAGATTGAGTGATGTGTTCTGCACCTCTCCTGACACTCCATCTTGCGATTCGGTGTTCCCAGGTAGTCCAACCTGAAATAAAGTTATTTAATCAGTAAAAGATTTAAACTGAGAGACTGAGATTCAAAGTATTATAAGGAATATATATATATTTTTTTTTTATAGTATTAGATGATAGTTGTATGGATGATGTTCTTGGTGATGGAATTCACGGGCAAGATCTCGTAGACAATGATTGTTACAAGGAAATTCAGTCTCATATGAATTTAAAAGTTGCTGCTCAAAATATAACTCTTCAAACTGTGACCACTGACGAAGCCATCAGAGTTTTGATCAGAGATAATGCCATTTTATCTGAAAAAACGAAGAAACGTATCCAAGATTATCAGGTAGAAAAATAAATTTAATTTCTAAAAACTTAATATAATATCGAAGAAAAGATTGAATTATCACGTGGATTTTTAGATGGATCTAAATCATAGATCTACAGCTTGGCAGAGACTTCAGATGGAAACTGACTTGGATGTCCTCTCAGGATTATTATTCGAATGGCTGGAGACATTAAAACATCCCTTATTGGACGTGGACAGTCTGAGTTACATCGTCGTCTGGAGTTCCAAGCCTGAGAGATGCTTAGAAAAATTGCCTAGTTGCAATAGATATTTATTGGAATATATTCTACGATTTATTATCCGTTTAAGACCGATGACGGTAGAAAATCAAAGTTCCATCACGAAAAGGTTTATAGCCACGCTAACGCAACAAACGATCTGGATCAAGAATGCCTTTTATCCTTCCAGTAAATATTATAAAGAAACATTTTCAACGTGTATTTTTCATCAAACAAGTGAAAGCGTATATATATTAACTTGTTATATATATTAACTTGTTCGTCTATATCTGTTTAACTTTGAATTCTATGCTATTTACGAACGAATATAGGAGTTTGACAATATAGCAGATATTTATATTTATACTCGACTGATATGGTAAACTGAATAAGCAATCTCTATCGGTGATTGTTTCATATTTCATGAAGGCGTGACCATTTCTGCGCACGTTTGATATAAGTATCCTTTCTTCACCAGTATAACAACACGACTGATCGGCAGAAATATTGATTATGTCTGGCATGTCACACAATTCTATTTATATTATTAATAATTGCTGATGTACATGTGATGGAATAAAATACGAGAAACCTAGATATAATTTTATCTGACCCCTGCTTTCGTTTCGCTTTTACAAGATTTTTCATCATTGTTAATGTAATTCGTATTAATTTCGTTGTGTTACAGATAGAAATTTCCAAAAGTTACGACGAGGAACAGAGGCTAAATTGAACGAATTTTTCATTAGACTGATGAATTTGATAGAGGAGGTGAATACACAAGAAATGGAGAAACCATCGTGGTCTTCGAAATGGGATTTGGTTTCCACTCAATTGAAAGAAATGGAAACAGAAGTGGAACACGAAATATCTAATTAGATTGTTTAAGATGATCGTAGAATAGCATTATAATATTTATTTTTACAATGTTCAATGATTAATTGTACAAATTATTCGAATAAAGAAAAATATTTTAGTAGTAACAAGTGTTTATTTCTTTATTAAAAATAAAAAAACACCTGAGTAATATTCTAAAAATTATAAAAATAAAGATAAAAATATAAATTCCTATTGTATTACAAATGAACAAAAAAATATATTCGATATTTTATCTTACTATGATATGATATCGGTTGGAGATAAAAAAAATTTCCTCTTTTCCGACGGATAATAAAATAAACCAACAGATGATAACAAATTTAATAAAAAATAAAAATTTTATATAAATAAAATATAATTTATATCATAATAATAAGTTAACTATGATTATAATAACTTCTAACATTTAATGAAACTAATTGAAAAGATCAATATCTATTTGATCGAAAAAAATTTAACTAACGATTACTAATTTTGTTTGCAATTCTTTTATTTAAATATGACAAACAAGGAATTCGGAAACAAACAGTTTAGACAGCTTTGGATCCTCATGTTCACGAATTGCTGTTTTATTAAGTATGTATATTCTTTTCAAGACGATTCTATTAGATAAAGACTTATTCTAAAGCTTAATTCGAGCTAGAAAATGCGATTTCTTAAGTGTTCTATTTACAGTATGATATAAGTCCTTCTGTGATCTAAACACATATAATCGTAGACACATTAATTTACGTGTATAAATCTTGACGTACCTAACAAGATCATATCTTTTTTTTTTTTTTTTAAGCATATACAAACGATGTCAGTCTTATACAAAGAAAGTACAGTGAAAATGATAACTCTCGTTACTTACAATTACAACTACTTATAAATCGATAAATTGCTATCTCGCTACCTTTTTTTTTTTATAGAAAAAAAAAGGTCGATGAAACAGTTCAGAGATTGAATTTCTTTTAGTAACACATTTAATTTCTCGGTAAAATCGGTACATTTTTACAAGGCAACTTATCATACAATACTTAATAAAATAATTCAGACAATAAGGATTCCTAAGAATTTTTCAATGACCTAAAGAGCTCGGATTTTCAGATTTAAGAACTTCCTCGTTTTCATACGGCACAGGATAATACTGAACAATTCGAAATCGTTCGAGGAGCAAGAAAAGTTCAAGACTCGAACGCATTTTCTGTATACATACATTGTTTCCTTTTCCACTTTTTCACTCTTCTATTCAAAAATAGATTTTTTTTTTCCCCCACGTTCCAATAATCCAAGTAATTTCATACTTGTTCCCCGAAAATTTTGAGTGAACACATGCAATGCAAAGAAATAATTTTAAACAAGTTATTTCGATTCGCGAATTTATCCTCAATAAAAATAGAAATTTTCTATCATATTCTACCTATGATAATAATTTATTGCGTTCAAATCTACAAGAAAGGAACACCACAACGAACGAAAATATCGATTCAGCACTGTTCACTCGATACCTCTAATTTGATATGATCGCGCTGGTTCGCTATTACTTCGTAATATAACGAACGCGTCGCAAAGTTTTATTCATTGACATAACAGAAAAGAAAAAAGAAAAGAAAAGAAAAAAAAAAAGAAAGAAAAAAAAGAAAGAAAGAAAGAAAGAAAGAAAGAAAGAAAGAAATCGCTTCACGAAGTATTATCTGAGCCGATAAAATGTGAAGATTCGATGAACCAGTGAATTAATAACGCTAAATCCCGTCTTTCGTACGCTTTTCGTACGAAAAATTCAAATATTCGTTAATTAATTTTTTTTACAGACCTATACGAAAATATACAACAAACATAACAGGGAACGTTTAAACATGTACAATATAGAATATTCGTAAAATAACAGCAATTACTATACAAAAAGAAAAAAAAAAAAAAAAAAGAAAAAATTCGTGAAACGAAAAAAAATAACCACGATCTTCGTGCTACGTGAATCGACTTTGAAGAACTTCGTGTCCACTCGAAATCGATCGATCAAACCTTGTCTTTGTTCTTTATTTATTTTTTTTTTTTCTTTTTCACCTTTATTTTTCTTCTCGTCATTCATCTTTTATTCGCGACACGACCAATCGCGATACGATAAAACGAGAAAGTTTCTTCGTTCGAGCTGCCGGCTCGTGAGAATCGACGGTCGTCGCTTTTTCTTTATTTTCTTTTCGTTATTTTTCTTGGAAAAATTTGAGATTTCAAAAGTAAAAATTAAATGCAGCCGGGATACGCGCAATGTATTGTATGTACGTGTTATGTATGTGTATGTGTGTATATATATGTGTGTGTGCATGTTGTTCGTGTATGTATTTATATAATTATATTTATATTTATATATATATATATATAGATTTTTATATACCACACTATCGATAAACTCATTCATTCGCAAAATGACACAATATTCGCAAATCCCTAATGCCTCGACAAAGTTCTTTTTTTTTTTTTCAACTATGTACAGAAGAATCTTTCTATGTTATATCGAGTCCTTAAACCATTATACACAATACATGTAGACTTAGATTAGTAATAGTAGCATTACGTGAAAGCGAGCCCAAAACGGTTCCGGCCATTCGCCATTTTTCACTTTATCATCCTTGAACACTTATCTTTACTTTCCACTGCTATTTTTCCCTGCTATTTATTTTCTTTCTATTTACTCCTATTCATTTTCTTTTTTTCCTTCTATTTTTATAACATCCAATGTTCGATGACGCACGCGACAATTGTACACACTCGCACTACGCGTTTTCCTCGTTTGATCCCTTTCTCTCTCTCTTATTGAAAAAATTTTTTTCAATCACTCGCCAACAACGAGTTATGGATGTCGAAAGATGATGGATCGTGAACAAAATGGAGAATCGATGGATAAAAGGGAAATCAATGTGGACGATAACTTAACCATCCTAAAAGCTAACCACTATTTTATTTCGCGGAATGGACACAGACATGTCTAACACGCAGGAATGAACGAATTGTTAAAAAAAAAAAAAAAAAAAAAAAAGAGAAGAAAAAAGAATATTAAAAAAAAANNNNAAAAAAAAAAAAAAAGAACGATCGCGGCCACGTCGTTTCCAGATAATCGAGCGACACGATCGAAAAGTTTGAAATAAATTGAACCGATCAAGCGCTAATAATAAAAGATTGACACGATGCTTCTCGTCATGCTAATATTACTAATTGGAGTCGAGCTAATATAATCGTAATCGGAATTAATATCTTTCTAACGAGAATAAAACGCAAAGGTGTCACAGACGACGTCGATCGACGTTTCTTACGACCGGCGATTAAACGATTATTGTCGCCCGTTAAATGCTTAAAGAACGATCGATCTCTTCGCGGTTCCACGTGTATAATAAACGAATACACGAAAACGATGCACCACCCCACAGCGACGGAAGAGTATGGTTCGTCGAGCAATTAATACCCTGACAATGTAACGGAGCTCACCGATCTCTAAATCTATCTACAACACGTTCCCGGGAACGAATATAATTTACAAAAATATTACAAACAAACGTGTATATATACCATATATATACCATGTATACATATTATATGGCTACGGGTTTCGAACGGAATAATATCACACACGATCGTCTCCCGGTCGCTGCAGCGCGATTAAAAACGGCACGCACGATTTTTTTTACATACATTTTAAATGGCGTCAACGACCATTGAAATAATAAATTACGATTCGATACCAAGCGACCAACGAGCGATATAGAACTCCGATAATTCTCTATCGTACCGACCTGAGCACGCTTTCGTTTAACTCGTGTGTTCATGTTTGTGTATTTGTATGTTTATGTATGTATGTACGTATGAAAATGTGTTCGAACGCGTGTACGTAAAAGGGGGGGGGGGGGGTCGAAGATCCGACGAGTAACGGCCCCTCAAAATGTTTATCTTCTCGTTCCTTTTCGATTTTTGGACGCAGTCCCAATTTTTCTAAAAATTCGGAACCGAGCTTGAACTTACGCGGGACTAGGGAGAAAAAGATCGAACAGGGGGGGGAGGATTTCTCTTAAGGATCTGTTGGATGGAGAACGAAGAACAGGGCCATCGACATCTAATTTCCTTATAATTTCCGAGATACGTATACGTAATTAATATATGTATATGTATATGCGTACAGAGTAATTTTAATTTATTTATAAGTGCGTTCACGGCATCCGCTTTCTTCTTCTTCTTCTTCTTCTTCTTTTTTTTTCTTTTTCTTTTTCTTTTACCTTTTAATCCCATCATTTTTCGTCACTCCTTCTCGACCGACTGTCCTCGATCTCGTTTTCGTTACTCACAAATTCGTTCAAAAATTTCACGACGCGAACGAATATTTTCGTTTGGTAAAACTATGAATATATTTGTAGCACCGGCGTGTACGTTTTATCTCGACGCACACGAATCTCATCGACGTCTATGATCGTCGATCGTTTACGACACTACTTACATTTAATTTGCCCTAAACTATACAGTGATTAGCAAGAGGGCAGCAAACGGGTACGCCGGGATCGGGATCCGTGTTTCATACGCGGACATACGTATGTTTTCCTTAAGTTTAAGTTTCACCTTTGATATAAGGAAATTAATTTTCCTTTCCTCCTTTTTTCTTTTTTTTTCTTTCTTTCTTNTTTTTTTTTTTTTTTTTTTTTAATAGACATTTTTGATACTCGCAAAATTCTTAATTTACCACGAACGATATATTAAAGACTAAAGCGTCAGTCAGTTCCCGCGCGTACCCAGAACACTGCCCACACCACAGCTTCTTTATTTACTCCTTAATTCCAACCTTCCCTACCTGTTCGCCCCCTCTTATTATTATCATTATCTTCGAGACATTCTGCGTGCCCCCTCGAACGCGTCTTCCTTCTTTTTCTTCTTTTAACAGGAAGAATCATGCAAGAAATTTAGAAAAAGTGAATAGTCTATTCTGTAAAAAATGATATCGATCGTAATTACCTTTCATCTAAATAAAATATTCCTTTCCTTTTCTTTTTTTCCTTTTTTTTTTTTTTTTAAACATCTATCCAAATTGGTCCAAAAATGATAGACGCGATTAGCACACGCAGAAACGCAACCGTACACGCGAGTGCTGACACGATATCGAAAGCGGAAAACGAGTCAGGAGCGGGAAAAACACTTCTCTTTTCCCCTGTACATTCGTGAAAGGATCATCGGTTAACATTTATTCGCCGAAACGCTACGAATAATCGCGGATGCTATTCGTTTTCATCTCAACGATTCACTCGTTAATGTACACGAAAGAGAAAGTGAGAGATAGAGAGAGAAAGATATATATATATATATTTTTTTACCTATATATATATATATATATATATTTATATAGAGATATTAACCGCGGTTCCGAAAAACGAAACGGAATTGGAGAACATAAAATACATCGTTGTTCGTAATTGCTTGAGTAAGGATATGGATCGAAGGATCGCGCCGCCTATATCACGATATTCGCCGATATTTCTCTCGAGTTCGACGTTTCGTCGCGATCGATCACGCACAGTGTACGTTTTTCTTCTTTCGCCTTTACCTTTTAAAAGCCGCCTCGATAAAACGTATCACGGCCTTGGATATGATAAATGGGGATTCTCTTACGAAGGAGGAGTGGAGGGCTGGGTGGTCCTGGCTGGGCCTTCGTTCATCGTCTTCTTCTCCTATTCTTCTTCCATTCTTCTTTTTCTTCCTCTATTTCTTTCTTTTCCTCTACACCTTTTTCCCCCCTCTCTTCATTCATTTCATACATTCGCGCGCCTCTGGTTCTTCCCTGATCTTGGCTCTCTATCGAGGAGGAAGAGAAGCTGCTTCTTATTCTTCTTCTTCTTCTTCTTCTTCTTCTTCTTCCATCACGATCTGTACTTCGACGCGACAGCTCGAATCTATTCGCTCCTCGAGGTGCGATACTACGCCTCGATCTGATCCTCCGGGGTCATTATGTCGGGCGCCATCGACAAGTCTTCGGCCATGTCCTCGTCCTGTCCGGAATCGTGCCCGTGACTCTCTGGATACTCCCTCTCGTCCACCTGATCGTCATCACCCTCTTGGTCCGCGGGCGCGTCAACCAGCTCTCGTTTTATTAATCTCGTCAGTTTTCCACCCTCCGGGCTTTGGCCCTCCTGCTTTATGTGCACGGCTGGTTCATCCAACGGTGACCTGTCGATTTTGCGGAGGAACTGCTCGGTTTAATGTGTTCCAATCATCGTCCACGGGAGGCTCGAGGTATTTTTTAATTGGCGAGATGGTAGCGATCGAGAGAGACAAATTGGACGTAGCAACTTTTTACGGTGGAAAGTTTAAGTTTCTTTTTTTTTTTTCTTTTTCTTTTTTTTTCTGTTTAATTTATTCGCGCATGATTCATTCGGCCGTGTTCGTAACTCGGATTACAATTACAAAATAAAAAATCACGTTTCAATCATTAACGCGTGATGCATCTTTTACGATATATCTTAATCCGAGATAATGATGTTTTAAATCAACTAAGGATAGGCGTAAAACAAGCAAACTGCAAAAGATGAGCACGTCTCAAGTTCTGTTATAAACCTGTCGCAATAAACATTTTGTTTAAGACTAACAAGTGTCTGGTGATTTATGATCGGGAGTAGCGTGTACTTAAAGATTTGCGTAGGTATATAACATTGCCAAGTATTTTGGGAAACATGTAACATGGATTAAATATATGGCACGCTACAGAGTGTTTTACTCACATTAAATCGTTATGGGCTAACACGTGCTCCTTGTCGGGGCTCGTTGTCGTCGACGTGCACATCGAGTTGTTTAGAAATCCCATATTAGAGTCCCCGAGTGCCGCCTGGAAATACTCAAATTGCATTAGATGGTTAGTCACTTAATATTCCGTTCCTGTACCTAATCGTTCGAAACTACGAAAGATACACGTATTAAATTTAAAAGAAATAATAATTCCAATAATTGTTTCTTTTTTTTTTTTTTTTTTTTTTTTTTTTAAACAGTTACCTGGAGATTGGCGTTTAATGCATCACCGTACATGGTCGGGCTATGCGTCAGGGTTGGACTTTTCGACGGGACACCCCTACATATCGAGAGAGAAAATTACTATTAATAATCGTCGAGATTCGACTATCGACAGTTTCCTGAAAAGAAACGCGTGTATATTTATAAGCTCTTTTCTTGATTTTTTTTTTTTTTAAATTTGTGTCAATGTATACATGGGTGGAGTAAATTTTTTTTTTTTTTCGAGTAGGGTTTCAGGTCACAAGGGTTGGGTGGCGGAGGGGGCGGGTAAAGATAGAGCTTGTGTGTACAATGTGTGCACGTGTGATCGAGTTTCAATATGTAAAGGTATAATAGATAGAGAAAGAGAGATAGATAGATAGACAGATAGATAGATAGATAGATAGATAGATAGATAGATAGAGAAAATGGAAAGTGAGAAAGAGAAAAAGAGACAGAGAAAGAGAGAAGTATATAATATGAAAAAATGTATACACGTATATAAATATATTAAAAAAGTGATTAAAAAAGAATGGAAAAAAAAAGAGTTCGAAAACTCTTACCTATTTACCAGTTTCGCTCCTCGCCTCCTCATCCAACGATCGGCTTGGTTGAGATTGAGCGAGGTTAGGTTAAAAAATTTAGAGAAAAAATGTAAAAAAAAAAAGCGCTCCCGTTTCGTCTTCGTTTCTTCAATCAGACTTTATTATATATTTCAATAATTTTCGTCATACGAAACGACGTCGTAACTTATAAACGGCTTTGAGGCTTACCTGTGCTTACCCTTTTATAGTTTCCAAAAATCCTCAAAATCCTCTAAGAACGTTTCAAGGCATCGAATGCCGACCGAGCGAATATACAATACTTCTTCCAAACGACAAACAGTCGAGTGAAAAAAGATACATTTTCTCTTGCAAACGATAAAGTTAAAGGGAATGCATTCGAAATGTATTCGAAGGACGAATATTATTCAATAATTGAAACACGATGAACGTGTAACGATTGCAAGAGACGATTACTTGCATGCGAAGAGAAAAATATAAGAATAAAAACAATGCCTAGAGCCGTTTATTAAGTGACTAAGAGCGCTTAGTAAAGAGAAAAAGAGAAAAAAGATAGAGGAAAGAGTGTGAAAGATAGAGAAAGAGATATATAGATAAGAGAGAAAGAGAGAGAGAGAGAGAAAGAGAAAAAGGATAGAGATAGATAGTAGTAGAGAGAAAAGTGAAAGGGTGTGAGAGAATAGTATATAAAAAGAGAGAAATAGAGAAAATTTTAAAAAACGTTTAAAAAGATGATTATTAAAAAAGTAGAGAAAAATTACCGGAAGTTGCAAAGTTAGTACGTTAACGGTGAAGTACCTTGAGTTAGAAGAGAATGGTCGTAGCGATGAATGGAGAATTCCGTATCATCCGAGATATTTTATTTTGCAGTTTGTGACGCTTAATTTACACAATTTACACATGCGCGAGTAGCCCTGACACACATTATCAGTCACACCGAAAACCATTCTCACGTTGAAAAAGCGTACTAAAAGGCGAACAGAAATATATAGAAAACGTTCAACGCTGTAACAGAGAGAAAGAGAGAGGGGGAAGGGGCAGTAAAAAATAAATTAAACACATACTTCAACAACGCCTTCTCTCGTTAAACGCTAACTAAAAGAAAAAAAAAAAAAGAAAAAAAAAAAAGAAAGAAAATTACGCAAAAACTTCACCTTCCTTTTACGAAATATCGTCAACTTATTTGCTCTTTCTATTATACTACGCTACGTAGCCTCTGCTTCTTTCAAAATAGCGAAACTGAAACTGAAAATGAAAAAGAAAGAAAAGAAAACGACGCGACAAACGCTTCGTTCACGCATCTGTGATTGTTGCGATTGAACGAAACAGAAGAAGAAAAAAAAAAAAAAAAAAAAAAGGAAAAAGGAAAATTGTAGCGATGCCGCATTAAAAAAAAACCAGCTTGTACAGCAAAACAGAGAAGAAAAATCCGAAAATGAAGGGTAACGAAACGTTTGTCCACGCAAACACTTTCACATTCTCCCAAGACACTGCAAACGCCACTACATAAGCACCATACAATTATAAGCGCAGTGTTTTCTTTTTTCAGTGGTAAGGATAGTCTTACGGGGAATTTTTTTTTCAGTATTTTTTCTCACATTTTTTTCTTTTTGTTCTTTTTTTTTTTTTTTTTTTTTTTTTAATTCTTATGGGAACGAATATTATAGGATCCTTGATTATCCATGCGAGCAACCACTAAACACATCAGAGATCCTGCAGCACGGACCAATCGTCCTGTGGCTGGGCTCCTGCAGGATCGTCCAGGATTTAAGCTCTCTCGGGTGTGCTAGAGCCTCGGGCTACGGTACTAGTGAGACGTATACGGGGATGTACTATATGAGGGCTGTTTTGGACGTCACAAGCAGAGGTGCGCAGATTTAACCGTTAACAAGCTGGAGCTGCAAATTTTAATTGGACGAAATTCCCTGTTCCCTTACGCTTACATTGGATTCTACCGACATTCCCTTCTCTTTTTCATCCAGGCTAAATTAACCAAGATATTATCGTTGTTATAGAAAAACGTACATTCTTCTATGATATATCGCGCACCTCTGATGAAGATCAAGGAAGGTTGAACAGGTACTACTTATCCGGTTTATGAAGGAGACGGATTCTAAGAGGTATTCGAGGCAGGCATGATGCGGAATTCGTTTCCTGGAGGATTGGATAAACTGCTTTAGAGCCACTCCCTGCTGCCTTGGAAGTCATTTCCTTAATAATCGTAACTCGAAATTCCATCGCGAAGGATTCCAAACGAAGCGCTCTAATAATCAACAAATAGTACGAGACTTGACTTTGATATCGAGCACACTACGTAATAACACACATTCGCGCTTTCTTTGATTTTTATCGAATGTCTTCCACGAGTCGAGCAAGTTTTAACGCACAAGTATAGAATAATAATGATCATTTTCGTACGGTGAATGTAGAAAGACTAGAAGGCGAATCGAACTCGGCGATCTGAACGACAAAGGCAGCAGGTTCGAGAGGGGCGTTTAGTGGTTCGTTTATTTAGGCAACGACCAAGCGAAAACGTCCCGGTCGCCGCGTTACAAGAGAATACCGCGGTAAGGTCAGAACGTCGCGCCAGCCAGCCAGCAGAATTCTAAAAAGTGGTAGTGCTTACTGTGCGGAGAGGTGGGGTGGAGTGGGTGATGGGGTTGGGTCATATTTCCTGGGGCGGCCGCGGGACAGATGCCGCCGCTTTACGAACTCGGCGTCGTCCACCATCCAGAATGACCCGAAGTCGTCCTCATAGCGCACAAAACACTTGTGCAATGATAGATTGGTGCGGATCGCGTTCTGTATACACAGACAAGACCACCAAGAAATAGAGAAAAAGAGAGTAAAAAAGATAAAGGTTTGTTTCTGCTTGTTGTTGTTGAAACTTATTTCGTTTGGTTTTTTTTTTTTTTTTT